CTTTCCCCCTTGTTGTGGCTGCTCCTCTTCAGTATCAGCCATCCCGTGAAGCTGTTCCGCTTCCCATGAATGACCTTCCGGCGGATGCGTTAATAGTGAATTGATTACTGGGGGGTTCGCCTGCTAACATGTTAGTTTACCCGTTGTGTTTCTTTTTGTGGTTTGCATATTTGTTTTATTCTTTGCACTTACAGTTTGGTTATATTAGGGTTGAAACTATATTTTGTGTTGGTGAACGAATTTTGTCGTGGAAGAGTTTGTTGTCGCTGACCCCGGGTTCTGCGGTTAATGTGGGCGTTATAGATGCGTGGGCAGCTGTTCTGAATCATCGTGAGGCTACTAAGGCTCGTGTGGCACCGTTACGCCTTTTTGCTTCTACGTTCACGACGGTTAGTGTGACAACCCAAAATTTAATTTTATAAATTCGGTTTTAAGAAATTCCAAAATAGCCATTTTTCACTCTATAAAAATTTTTTAGATGAAGTCGGTGTTAGAATAAATTATTTTGAGCTACTTTTAAATAAATTCAACACCGGAACATGAATTGAAACTAAAATCCTAAATTTGCGGGTACATTGTGTACCAAGTTTTGAACTGAAAAGTCATTCTGAGTGAGACCGGGAGAAATCTGAGAAGCCTAAATCAAGTGTTTATTAAGAAGTTATTTTTGGGAAATTTAATTCCAACCCCAAACTATTTTAAATCTTTATTTTAGACAATGGTTCATGAAGCATGGTGAACCACTCTATTCCAAAAGAGCTTTGTCTGATGCAACTTTCTAGCCAAGCTTTAACATTTTTGCCCTCCACCAATCATGAGAGATCATCCTAGGGTTTTGTGCCTCTATAAATGAGAACACTATCAGACCTTTGCCTCTTGATTCCACTCTTTGCTTCCCCAAACTTTTTGCTCTGCAAAACCAAAGTCACAGTAAGTTTTCTCCAAGCCCTAACCTTCCATTTCTTCAAGTTTCCTTCTACTATATCTCTGAGAACTTAGTGGTAAGATGGTTGTGTGGTTTATTTGAGTTGTTTAGGAGGTGAAGGAGGGTGTAGATAGCTTGGGGAGAAGGTGGAATCCCAGCCAAGAGAAGAACTCTACAAAGATATAACCCCATGGACTCCCAAAGCTATTTTAGACCCTGTGAAGTCTTGTTTTAATGTTTGAAATGAGTATAAATACAAGAATAATGTGTGTTTAAGCTAGTAAGTGTTCTATTATTGATCTATGATGTGTTGTTGATGATTTGGGAGTGTTATATGGTCTGTTTTTTGCCTTTCACAATGTGCACCAGATGAGGCACGGAGCTAGCCAACGATCCTAGGGAGGAGCCGTTGGCTAGGCCCTTGGAGGAGCGGCCCTAGGGCACGGCTCTAGGCTAGAGTCGTGGCCTTAGGTCGCCGCTTGGCGATTCCAAGCGGTGGGGCTCCTCAAGCCCCGCCAGGCAAGGTCTGTGCAGTGGTCGGGCCCTTGTGGCTCAGCTACGTGTCGTTCCGGACCAGGACTCGCGGACCCTTGAGGCTTGGATACTCAGGGCCATTACGACGCACGAGTAGAAATTTATTTCATTACATTCGAAGTAGAAATGAGAATTTTTTGTTACAATTTGTGAAGAAAAAGGCCACAACGCATGTGTTTGACTACTGCGCACATTACTCTCCTTGAGTGTGCATTATTGTTTCATGCTGATGTATGTTTTTTGGTTTTTGTTTCCCTAGACTTTTGAATGTGTAGTTGGTGAGGTTGCTGTTGTGTTTTCGAGTTCCATTCGTGGGTTGTTCGAGTTCTTTGCGATGGCTCGTGGTAGGGTTATGGAGCAGAAGGTCTTTTTCGACAGTTGTATGGTCCTATTCAACCCCGTCTGCGTGAGTTGGATGCTGACTTTCGGGAAATTTTTGAGGCTATAGGCTTGAGTGATGTTCCATCGTTTAGCTTTGGTTTGACCCAGGATTTTGGGGTGGGGGTGTCTATGTTAGTGGTCTGGATGCAGTTACTGAGCTGGGTAACAATATTGCTGCAGAGTGTATGGTTGCTGAGCATGATTGTGGTAATGTTGTGGATAAGGTAAATATTTTGTGTTCCTTTTCTTATACGTTGGATGTATGATGTTGGTTATTGCTTCTTCTTTTTTCTGTGGTGTTGTTTGTAATATATTTGGTGTGTTCCCTAGCAAGGGGATGGGGATGTGTGTGCTGACCAAATTAAAGCTTAATTATGCAAGGCAAACTAACCAACATAACATAAAAATGTAAACACAGCGGAAGTCTAATCATAAAACCGGGAAAACCAAGGAGTGTTATGCCACATTCACTCCAACGTGAACGCAGAGGCAAAAACTAAAACCATCAATCTAATATGTCTAACATCAGGGGCACACAGGCCAAAACACAAAATAAACTGTTCGGGGATCTAAACTATCCATGTCTAACGCTCTCGCCATCTACTCAGGACCTGAAAAGCACATAAAGAAAGGGGACGACTCCCGGTCAGTGAATATTGCTGGTAACCCATCAATACACGTTTAATAGCATAAGTAGATAGTATAATACAAAATCATTTTCGAAACGGAATACAGTATATATCAGTTTTAAACCGTAAAGAGAAAAGTCAACTGCAAAGACTCTATTTCACTCTCAAAAGAACAAGGGAATCACATCCCAAGACAACATCAAGACAAGAACAGCAGTAGAACAACTCAACACCGCTCAAGAGGTAATCTACTGATCACAAAGCAGAAAACATCAAGGCATAGACAACAACAATAACAAGTACAACTCGAGGTTTATTCTACTGATTAAAAAGTAGAATACCACTCAACATGCTCAACAGAAAAGGATAGACACACACACATTGGCAACACATGCCACCGTGACACTAAATGTCACAAGTTCCAACCTTATGCCCTGTTCCAACCTTATGGCTACCCCCGGCCTTATTACAGTTCCAACCATTACCTCCAAAAACCCTGTACTTCTGAGTCCAACCTTATGCCTCCGGGAATCGTCGTTCCCCACCTACAACCACCAAATCATCAACCACCGATTTCATAGTACACGAGGGTAGCGTTCATTTCAATCACACAACCACCAATCACATGAGCCTGAAGCCCAGCTGAGCCTGAAGCCCAAATCACATGAGCCTGAAGCCCAATTACAACTCCATAATCACATCATGGCCACCACGAGGACCACATCTGTACCTTGGTGATTAATGCCCCATACCATTAATCGTGCAATCCAGGTACAGCCAACACACACATCATCATAGGAATCAATCAACGGATCACAACGAAGATATGAAACCATACTCAATCAAGGAAGGATTACAATCCGACATCAACGATGATCAACACAAGTTATCATCTACAATAGGAAAGAACAAACCACACACGCTAGCATTTCAACATCAAACTAGCATGCTTATCAAACGGGTAAACAAAACATAGTTCCGAAGAACGTACAAGACTCACCATGGTACAACGAATCACAAGGTTGAACACTTAGCACGATTCAAGACACCAAATCCTACATGGATTCCTATCATATCGTTCTAGACATACGAAACATCAAGAAGACACTCAAATAGCCCAACAAAAGAACATCGAGAAGTCAAAACATCAATTACCGAGTCAAAAGAATCACGGGGAACAAATCCCCAACAACCCACAACATTGTACCCGCAGGTGGGGCCACGGGTGGACCCCCACCCATGGTTCCGCCCGCGAGAACCAAAGCCAAACCTCTTGTACCCCGCGGGTGGGGCAGCGGGTAGGCCACTGCCCGCCATTCCGCCAGCGGGTACAACCTGTACCACAACTAATCCCTTCGGGGATTTTCAACACCAAGCTCAAATTCAAGTCCAAAACACCTAAAATCTCACAAAATACAACAATATGACTTGAATCAATGGAATAGCCAAGCAATGGCATACAAGAATCCTAATAAGAAGCTCTAGATATGCATTCCCATAAGACAATGCATCAAAACTCACATTTCATATCAAAAATCACATGTAGAAGTCAAGAAATCATCATATAGGTAAGAAAATAGATTTTGTAAAGCATGGGTTACCTCTTGTAGCCTACAACTTCACTTATCACACCCTTACAAGCTTCTATTAAGGCTCTCCTTCAACTTCAACTTCACAAACACACCAAAAGACAACAAAGATTTCATCTTTAGAAAAAGACACCTTTAAAGGTACTAAAAACACTAAAGTACCAAAGATCTTACCCTCCTATATGCTCAAGATTAAGAAGGTTTGAATCTTGGAGACCAACTTGAAGAATCTTGGAATGCCCAAACTTGGCTTGAAGAAAAAGCTAGCTATTTTCTAGAGAGAAGGAGGAGCTTTTCTTTTTAGAGTGTTAGGGAAAAGAATGAAAGATGACTCTAGGTTAGCTTGGAATACAATCATAAGGTGAAAGGTCTTCTTTACCCTTACTAAAATGAAAAAGTGCAAGGAGACAAGGGAACAATTCATGAAGCATAAGGTACAACCCATTGACTTGGATTGACTAGTCAATTACTAGTCCTCCGACTATTAAATTTTCAGGATTTTAGGAATTAAACTATCAATTAAGCTAGGATTAATTACTTAATTAATCCTTAAATGGAATTTGGATTTACGGGGTTTCACACACGGAGTTAGCCAACGACCCTAGGGAGGAGGCGTTGGCTAGGCTGATGGAGGAGTGGCCCTAGGGCACGGCTCTAGGCTAGAGCCGTGGCCCTAGGCCGCCGCTTGGTGGTTCCAAGCGGTGGGGCTCCTCAAGCCCCGCCAGGCAAGGTATGTGCAGTGGTCGGGCCCTTGTGGCTCAGCTACATGTCGTTTCGGACTAGGACTCGCGGATCCTTGTGGCTTGGACACTCGGGGCCATTACGACGCACGAGTAGAAATTGATTTCATTACATTTGGAGTAGAAATGAGCATTTTGTGTTAGAATTTGTGAAGAAAAAGGCCACAAAAGTTGTCTGTGAAGTTTTCAATGAAGGAAAATGTTGAATATTTGGTATTGGTTATTTATTTGAGAAGCATGGAAATTATATGACTGTTAGATAATGAAATATGATCCATATTGGTTAATCTTTGCTAGAAAAGCATGCCTAGATGTCTATTATGACTTGTTGAGATTATTGCAAAGATTATTAACTGTTGAAGTGTACAGAGCATATTTCCTTGAATGCTAGATTACAGTAGATGAGATAATGTTGAGCATTTTGAGTTCAAGTGCATGTTGAATACTTGCTAAGTGTTTGCCAATGAGGATTAACTACATTATGATTTATGAGCATGTTTATAGAATTGTTGAGAATCCACACTTCCACATTGAAAGGAGAATTGAAGTATATTCTACAGTGAAGTGCATATTTGAGCATACCATGTTTTAAAATGGACAAGTGGTCAAAGTGAGCCTAAGTATTATTTTCAAAAACTCATATCTATTTTAGAAAGTCATTCTCTTGTTGCATTGAGAAATTGTTGAGAAGTTATGTGCATAAGTTTGCATAAGTAAAGTGTTGCATGAGTTGAAATGCATGAGCCATATCTATATGTATTAGTGTGAGTAATCCGAGATTTTGGAGGACCGTTAGGACTATGTCCTTTTGGAAGAAAAGAGATAAGATCGGATAGAACTGACAAAACAGTGAAAGAAAGAAAGTAAAGAAAACAACGGACATTGCGATCCGATATGAAGTAATGAGGTAGATATTCACGAGTTACTCGGTTGGAAACTGCCCGCCAGGCTTAGAATCCTGGTTAGGGGGTGTGCACACTGATAGTTCGATACCTGATTCCACAGATTTTGAGAAAAGAACCAAGAGACTGGTTCTGCGGCGAGATGATCATTAGGCCGGCTAGATGTCGAGCCCAGATAGGTCCATTCACCTTATGGTGAAGTCCTACCTCGTCCATGAGTAAAGAAAGCAATCGAGTGAGGGAGACTCAAGAGAAAGAAATCGATTCAAGAGACTCAAGAGAAAGAAATCCAGTCAATAGACTCAAGAGAAAGAAAGCGAGTCATTGTGACTCTAAGAAACCTCCACAAGAAAAAGTATTCTTTTTACAAAAGAGTGTATATGTATATCTATCTATACTTATACTAAAGCATCATGTTCATTATATTGCATGATCAAGTTAAAGTGCACAAGATTGCATATAAAGAGTATATGATTGCATGAGATTGCATGATGAGTATATGATAGCATGAGATTGCTTATAGATTATATGATTGCACGAGATTGCATGATGACTATATGATAGCATGAGATTGCTTATAGAATATATGATTGTACGAGATTCCATGATGGGTATATGATAGCATGAGATTGCTTAGAGATTCTATGATAGCACAAAATTTCTTATTGACTTATGTGTTAGCATGAGATTATTTACTAAGATATATGATGATATGAAATTATTGATAAGATGAGTATGTGATAGTATGAGTTTATTGCTAAGCTAATTAATTGTGAAAGCATGCCTATTGTTAAATAGGTTGCAAGCATATAGAAACCCTGTTAAACATGATAAAGTGTTGCCTAAGTGTTTCAGAATACTTGATATAAGTACGAGAAAACTGTTTTCCAAAAGTATATATTGTAGTACTTTACAGGGTTGAGTGGCGTTATACTTAGCTTCGTGCTAACGGGTTTGTTTTCTACTTGTTGTTTGTTAACCCCTTTCAGGTGGGCCCAGTTCGTGAGAGAGTACGAGTTAGACTAGACTAGCATAGTTAGCTTTTGTAGTCTAAACTCTCGATGTTGTTTTCTTTTAAGACTTGTAGTTGTCTACCCTCGTTTTGATGGTATTGGACATCGGGATTTATCCCCTAGTTCGTTTGATACTATTAAACTTTTAATGATTTAGTATGTTTATCCTTGGCCTGTGCAATCACCGTGAAGGGTGATTGTGGCGGTGACACCTCTTTTAAGTTGTTTTAGTAAGTTTAATTCGCTGCATTAGCTTACCTTTCAAGGTTAAGTTTGTTAAATAAGTTTTAAGAAAAGTGGGGTGTTACAGTTGGTATCAGAGTGGTACTAACCGCAGGAAACTTAGGAAGTTTGACCCTTAAGACTTGTGCTATTTACTTGGCTTTTTTGCTTATATCCAACGCTTATTAATGTAGCTACTTGCTTGGTGTCCTCCTTACTACCCCCTAGGATGTGTGTGCGAATATGTGGGTTCTCGTGTGCATAGATGTTTGTTGTTACATTTTCGTCGTATTTCAATTCATTTAGCTACTAGCACGTTTTACTCTTCACTACCCCCGATAATGTGGGTGCGCATATGTGGGTAAACTTGTGCTTAAATTTAGCTGTTACGTTGTATCACGAATTCCGTACAAGGTACTGGGGTTTGGTGTGGTGAGATTTTCTAACACGTGTGCACTGCTTTGTGGCATGTGTGAGTTGGGTGTGGGTTTTTTTTTTTAGTCCCACCACCATGTGTGCGCATGGTTATTTTTGCTGCGTGCATAGGTCACTTGTGTTTTTTTTTTCAATTTTGTTAACTCTGTGTGTATGGCATGTACCCTTTGTTTTTTAGTACACAATGTCTTATTAATAACAAGTATGCTTCATATAAAAATGGTTCATAATTGTAATCTAAATTGCATTGTTCAGTATTTTTGAAATAAATAGTATTCTAATCTTCGTCTTGTGCTACCTTATATGGACATGTGCGGCTGTTGTGGCATGGGAGGTCGCATATATTGCACGTCCTTTCTTTTTTCTTTTGTTGCTTTGTGATTGCTTTCTCTTTATTGCTTTTGAGTCTCTTCCCACTTCCTTTGTTCTTTGCAACTTTGGGTGGTTTTATTTGTATGTCTCATGGTCTACTTGATCCTAGTAGTGTTTCGAACACAGATTCATTGTTGCCATTCTCTTGTGTTTGCTGCCTCTCCCTTTGTAGATCTTTTTTCAGTTGCTGCAATGTTGCCAACATTTGGTCCATTTTGTTCGGCCAACCGCTCACTAATCTCATGCAGTTGTAGAATTCACTCCAAAGTTGATTTGCTACTTTTGTTGCTTCATTTGTTGTGGGGATATTTGTTCCTTTTGCCCACGGGACGTGTACATGTGTCTCTTGTCCATCATGGAACAATATACTTTTGTGGGATTGATTCATACCCTGTTGGCTTCATAAAACTAGCACGTGCCTACAAAGTATACCAACACGGTTGAATTTCTTGCATGCACACTCTATTTTTTCCGCTTTGGGGATTTCGGTTACTTCAAACGTTTTTTTGCCTATTTCGTCAACTTTGTAAGTCCATATGTCACCCACGTTTTTTTTGTCGATGATGTGACACGTGAAACTGGCCTCCTATACCTCTTGTTGGAATTCATAGAATATGTTTATGGTGTACACTTTAGCACCATGCTTTTCAAAACTCAAAGGGGTTTTAGTTTATGGGTACGAACCTTCATTTTCTGCAATGAGTTTTTTCTAGTTATGTCTCTGTTCTCCGATGACACTGTTGTATTGTGCCATGAATTCTACCAAGCTGTAGTGGTGGTTTGTGAATTTTTCCCAAAATAGTTGTTTTCTCATTCTGATCTTGATGTTGTCCTGAGCAATCCTCCCATTTGTATGTCGTTGAAGTACGTAGGTATCCACGACGCACGTGCTTCATACAGCTGGGCAAACCATCTATGTTCTTGAAGATTGTAGTCTTTCATGAGTTTTTCCCATCTTCTCTCGAATTCATCTATGGTCAATGTCTCATCCCATATGGTATTATTCAGTGCCTTCTTAAAGTCAGTGTTATGCCATAAGGCAACCCCTACCTTTTTCCCAACTTTTGTCATAATGTGCCACATACAGAATGTGTGCCTTGTTGTTGGCATAGTTTGTGGCACTACTATCTTCAGTGCTGGATCTTGGTCAGTTGTAGTACATCTTGGTGCGTATTCCATCGCAGTTTTGAACTTCTTTACTAGCCACTCATACGACTCTACATCTTCTTTCGCAATCTGGCGACACCAAATGTAATGCATCTTTTGTGGTTATCCACCCCCGTGAAAGGGACGAAAACTAACTTGTACCTGCAATGTAAGCACTGTTAGAATTACTATTGTTCACATTTCGTGTGGTTGTACTACTTGAATCCTGCATGTTGTTGCGCACACTAATCGCGTACGTCACGCACGCATGTTCTTTTTTTTTTCCACACAGTCCTCTTATGCGCACACGTTTTTTTCCATGCATGCACAGGCAGCACTCATCATATGTAATGTGAATCGAGATGTACCTGTTTGTGTTGTACGTAGCATCAAATGACATGACATCGCCGAATCATGCATAATTCCTCCGAGATTCCGCGTCTACCCAGAATAACCTTGTTAATTGAGCTTCTTCGTCTATATCGAAATCGAAATAGAAGTCCGTGTTTTCCTCTTTTCTTTGAACATGTCTTCTATCACCATTTGGGCGTCTGCCTCAGCTATATAGGCCAGTAGGTCGCACCTAAAATTGCAGAAGTTAATGCATGTTGCTCCTATATCCGTAAACCCTCCCACCATCTCTTTGAACAGTCTGAAAGCTTTTGTGGGACCGATGTTTGCCTTTGCACAATGTGCCAAAAAGGTTTTGTGGCCGATGGCAAGTTGCCTATTTATCTTTTAAAAAGTTTTTCCTTGTTCTGAGCAGAGGTAGTGTGTATGTTGAAGCTCGATTGCGAGGACTTTGTAGCCTCTAGTGTCACACTTTGTCATTACCATACGTGCCTTACATCTTATCCTGTTGGACATTCTCCTTCGTCTCTTTCGTTCTTTTGAGCTATTGTTGGTGTCTTTCCTTTCGGCCTTGTAACCCTCTCATGAGCACAACATGTATTTAATTGACACTTCCCCCATTCGATTTATACGCTTTGTGCCGTGTCTAACATCAAATCCTGCCTCCTTAGCGTATGCTTGGTAGAAATCAATCCCGACCTCTACTGTTTCGAATCGCTGTCCTTCGTATGGTGTCTTCTCTTTTGGGGTTGTCGGCCTCTAGTATTTCGGA